CAAAGATATGAAAACGGGCTTTTTGGAACTAAATGTTCCATAAACTTTTGCCGTATGGGTTTGTTATACTTGTCGATAAACTGAGATCAGTTTAAATTTCCTGACCTCTAATTCATCTGCCAACGGTCATCGCCTGTTAATATAGTAAATTAACTAAGAAGAACAGGTTCGATCACCAGAATCTTAGTTTTATTTGTCTGAGCTTTCGAACTCTTGCGGGAGTCCATCGTCAGAGAAGAAACCGTCAACGAAAGCAAGCAACATTTCCGGGGGAAGGGGCCAATTAACCGTCAGCGAGAGCAAAAAAAATTAACAGGGTAGGGGGCCAATTAACCGTCAACGAAAGCAAGCAGCATTTACAGGGGGAAGGGGCCAATTAACCGTCAAGGATAGCAAGAAAAATTTACAGGGGAGGGGGCCAATTAACCGTGAACGAAAGCAAGCAGCATTTACAGGGGGAAGGGGCCAATTAACCGTCAACGACAGCAAGAAAAATTTACAGGGGAGGGGGCCAATTAACCGTCAACGAAAGCAAGCAACATTTACAGGGGAGGGGGCCAATTTACCGTCAACGAAAGCAAGCAGCATTTACAGGGGAGGGGACCAATTAACCGTGAACGAAAGCAAGCAACATTTACAGGGGAGTGGGCCAATTAACCGTCAAAAAATGCAAGCAACATATAAAGGGGAAGGGGGGCAAGTAACCGTCAACGAAAGCAAGCAACATTTATGGGGGGAAGGGATCAATTAACCGTCATAGGGCGGGGAGGGAGGGACAGGACCACCAGTGCCGTGAGTCTGGAGATACCTGTGCAGGGCAACATATGCGGGCGCCAGCTCGATGCACCGGTTAACTGAGTTGTCATCCGACGCCCAGGCTTCAATCGATCCATTACGGTAGTCGACCGTCCCTTATCAGCCTGTAAGATGATAATAATGTTGTCTTTCCTCAGTTCCTTCATGGCTTTTGACTCAGTCTGCGAAATACATCGGATTGGTTTGTGAGCCATCAGCAAGGAGGTTAAACGTTCTCGGATTGAGTGTTTTGTGCCGTCAGTTGCTTCAGTTCACACCAGAATCCCGTCTAGTGCTGCTATGAAGTCAACATGGTCAGCGTCTGCCGTGTTAAAACAGGCTTCGTCCCCCTCGATTACTCAAAGACCTTCGAGGTCCGACGATTCAATCGGAAGATACCATAGTCTCCTTCGATGTGACTGCTTTATTCACATCCAAACCGCCAAAAATGGCGCACGAAGTCTTGCGCAAGAGACTTTATGAGGCATATGATGAGACTCAAAGTCCACTCAAAATTGAACACATTATGAGGTTATTCGAATTTTTCCAGAAAACATACTTAACTTTTACTGGAGAAACCTGCGAACTGATCAAACGAGCTCTGATAGGCTCCCCGATCTCCGGCTTAGTGGCAGAACTGGTCCTATAAGAGTCAGAAAACGCTGCCTTCGCCCAGCATAAGTCCGTCTTTTGGCGTCATAACGTCGATGACACATTTGTTATCATCAAGAAAAACATGCTGCAGAACTTCCAAAAATTGCTTAATGGAATCTTTTCCGAGATACAATTCACGAAGGAAGAAGGACAAGAGCAGCAGCCGCCTTTCCTTGATGTCCTCATCGAGAGAATGTCCAACGTTGAAATTAAGACGGCAGTTTACAGGAAGCGACGAACACGACACAACTTCTCAGTTTTCAAAGCAACCATCCGGTTGAGCACAAACGAAACTGTCTAAAAACGCTCTTTAAACGGATTGAGACTCATTGCAGCAGGCCGGAGGAATAGGTACGTGAAGCGTGATATTTCCGCGACAGATGCTTACGCGTACGGCCCTGGAGAACCCCGACAGAAGAAACACCAAGGATATGGCATACATCGAGGATGTCTCAGCAGCCACAGAGCGCACCGCTGCGGGACTATGCGTCGGAATTGGAACGATGCGCAACTGGGTAATGAAAATAAAAGACCGGCTGAACCCCAATGAACAATCCGGGCTACTGTATTGCATTCCACGCATAAGTTGTCCTTGTAACTATCCACGGCAAACTGAACGCATGATCGGCTCGCGCATACACGAACATGACCAGGCTGTCAGACGAGGTGACGCATTGTCGAAAGTGGCGGTCCACACCTACGAGACGGGTAATGAGTTTAACTTGGCAGCCGCGAAAATAATCACCCACACGGGCAAAAAGACAGGCCGAGAACTGATTGAAGCCGAGTCTTCGGATGATAATTCAGTCAATCGGTCTATCAATCTGGCGTCCGCATACACTGCTCTCCGCAGGCATAGTCGCAAGGCAGACACTGGCGATTAATGAGTTTCCTCCTCTTTCCCTCCCCCTCCCGCGTCCCATATAACGGTTGATTGGTTCTTGCATCCTAGAACGGTTGCTTGTTTTTCGTGGACGCGTTTATCTCTGACGATAGACTCCCGCACAAGCCCGAAAGCTCAGGAAAATAAACAAATTAATCCGGCACTTGACAACTCTTCTTCCTCATTCACACCGGTCCTAATGGTGCTGTCTTTCGAGTGTCGTGACAGCATACCCCAAACAAGGTCCACAAATCAAAGTAAACCCAGCGGAGATGAAGAACAGTGGAACGCTTATCCGGTTCCAGACCCAAGGTTAGTCCCGATTATGTATTATTGCAGAGGGCTGCCTGTCGTATATATAAATAATTAATTTTCATGATTGCATTTTTCCTCTCCTCTACTCTACTCTACTCCTCTACCCTGTACGATAGCATCCGGAAGTACAGCTGTTCTACAAAGTTCGACATTATTAGGCCGAAGCATTTTTAGATCAGTCGAATGCTGAATAGGATCCAAACCCTGCGTCCGCGCATGCTACATCCGCCACACCATCACATCCGTCAGCCATATTATCTATTTGTCGCACCGGCATATGCTACCAATTAATACGGAAATAAGACGGAAAGATCGTACGAAGTTGTATTGATGATTATAAGTTATAAAAGCACTATATCTGATGTCATGCCTAGTCATCTCCACTCGCCCTCACCACTTCTTGTAGCCCTTCTGTCCCCAAAACGCACCGTGCAGATCCTCGTCATCCCCATCCTCCATCGTCTCGTTCCATGCAGCGCTATGAGACTTAATGTTGTCTTTTTCTCCCCATTCCGCGCCGTCTAGCTCGTCATCATCATCATCATCATCATCATCCGAAATGGTAGCGTTATCCAGCGGTTTCTTGGTTGTGGTGGCAAGATTGGCAACGGTATACTCAGTGGCATTCATGCAGGTAACCAAGACTATGGCCGTAAGAAGGAGGAGGCAGATCTGAGCTTTCATTTCGATGCTGGTCATACTGAGATGATGATAACTCCCTCTATTTATATTATGCCCGAAGAACCGTGCGACGTAGGGCTCAGATTTTAATTGGCTGACATGGTCTTATGCCCCACTGAATTCTCAAGGCCGCTGGCAACGTCCGGCCTACGTCGCGCCATACGGCATGATATGACTGGTCGATTTAAAAATTCACCTGGCCAATCCTTGAGCGCTCGAACTCCCTTCGAACTAACTGTATGCTGAAGCCGCAGAATGGCCAGAGAACGCCCTTTTTGTAGGGCGTACATCAATGCACACAGTTCTACATTAAATTTCGAATGTTGACTAATTTACGGAAAAGAATAAGCATGCTAAAGCTGGCCGAAATATTAGCAGCTTTTTTTTTCGGACACTGAAATGCAATTCATTTGACCGCAGTCCTCCCAGCGCTGGGGTAGTCATAGGTTATTTGTTCTGATCAAAGAGCTGATTTCTAGCCTCTGTACTTCATCGTAGTGGTGTCTTAGTATGGTCAGTCAGGTCAGGTCAGGTTTATTAGGGAAATATAGGTAAATACCTTTGAAGTCCCTCTTGGCACAGAACAGCTATGATGTAGAGCATGTGGCGCTGCCAGTAATGGAACTGCGTAAAAAGTGCACACAGTAAAAAAAAACTCCTTAGGCATTGTACAGAATT